CGTGCTGCCACGTGTTTCAGTGTACTTCAGCATGCTCATAACTTATACAAAACATATCCTTAACTTATCCAAGGTATGCCAGCGTTTTTGCCAGATTTTAGGTGGCACAGAGGGGTTGTAAGGGCAAGAATATAATGACTGATTAAAAGCTGTGTACACTTCTCTTGATGTGTGGTAAGTCTAGCATAAACTGTATCTGCTATTAAATTTATATTCAGTGTGACTAGGTGTGTTTTAGATTTTTTTGTAGTTTTTTAATTGAATTTGAATTTTGTGTGATTTTTGAAAGTGTAAAAAATACTTTAAATGTGAGTCAGCCAGGCCATGTGATAAAGTATGTCAAACGTTGTATAAATCTTTGTTAAGATTTATACATGTTTTACACAGTCCTTTTTATTCTATACTCAAAGTGTTCTGGAAAAACTATTCATATGTTCATGTAAAAATATTTTGCTAAATGAAAGTTATTATAAAATATGAACTGACAGAAAAGAAAATGACTTTTAAAGGGCAGGGGCTGAAAAGATGAGCACATGATGATTTCAATCCTTTTATTGACCATCCAAAGGTAAAGCAGAACATGCTTTAGCTGCTTGAAGAAAAGTGTCACTGCTGCCTATCATATCAAGACAAATTGTCTAGATGAAAAGACTAATCAAATAAATAATAAATGTTATCAATCGAGCCTTTTGGATTAACAATGATTTTCTATTGACCTTTCTCAGAGGTTCATTGTTTCTGTATACTCAAAATGAAGCCACAACCAGGAAGCTTTATTCACCACTTTGGCTGAAGTGCTGAAACAATTCATTGGATTTATCATGATTATCCAAATATTGAAATAATCAATAACTAATTTAGTAATCGATTAATCGTTAACTGGAGTGTAGAGACTCTGAAACATGCTTTTAGTTGACAGAGTGAGCCACCAAGAGTAGTAATTATATCAAAACAAAATAATTCAGTTAAAAAACTCCAAGAATCCACAACATGCAAAGTCCTACTTTGCATGTTGTGGATTCTTGGAGTTTTTTAACTGAATTATTTTGTTCTGATGAAGGCTTTCAGTGGATTAGCATACAAACCTTATATATTAAACGGTAGGGTATCCTGATGAGAAGTTCTAAAATATTAGTGAGTGCTAATTTTTATATTAAATGGGTAGGATAGAAATGTTTTTTTTTTTATTTAGATTAATTTGTTTAGTGCTGTGCATAAATTCTAAACAAACACTCCAGTCCAGTCACAAGATTAATGTTTTTTGATTATTATATTTAACATAAACTCTAACCACTATGGTTTTGGGCATGTAAACATGACGAAAATAGTTTTGTCATGGTAGGATCAACAGATAGTTAACTATACATGCTATGGAAGCACATTCTGACAATGTAGCAGAGATTGTCAGAATAATACCGTGTTGATGGGAAAGAAACCTGAAACCTTCAGTTCAGTTATTTCAGTGCAGAGTAGCCAAAAGCTTGGTGTTGCCAAGAACAGCACTGATGAAATGCCAGTGAAAAAAAGGTTGTGTTGTCAGAAAGAAAGTGTGAATCAGCACTGTAAAAAATTAAGTTCTTCAAACCTTCAGAAACTCCCATTCACTCTTCCTTCCACAAATACAACAGATGATCATACATGCATGTAATAAAGCATTAAACAAACTATGAGCGTAATTCTTGAAATACAGCAGCAGGATTCTGTGTGAGAAGCACAGTTCTACAGAATAACCTAATGGTTGAAGCATGAGCTCTCTCCTTCAATGGTTTCTATGTTTGTTTCTGTGCTGGGAAGTTTTTTGTTTGCTCCCCAAGTACTCTTGTTAAAAAACACTTTACTACTGTTGTTAGAACAAGTTTGTTTGAAGAGTGAGGAAGGTATGTTAGCAGGCAAACAAGGCATTCTATACTCAAGGTCTGCTGCCTCTAATCATTAAACCCAGCTAGTCACAAAAAGCAGCAAAATTGCTACCTTGAGTAATCCTCATACCGGTATATACATGCATTTTAACAGGTCAGCATAACAAGAGCATTATATTTTAGTGATTTCATTTAAAGTTGATTTATCACATAGATTCATTAAAATATAAAGTCATTAACCCATTGTCTAAAACAAGTAAAACTACTAAATCTATATTCCCATTATCACTCTCAGAAATAGGCAAAGCACATAAGATCTTGCAATGTCTGTAAGCAGTTAAGGTAGTATTGTATTGAAGCATATTTATGGGATGCTGAATGGAGAGAAAATCAGTGGAAGATGAGAAACACACAAGCTGCGGGGATGCCTTGGGAAGGTTGTATGGAAAGCCCACTCAAGAGTTTAGTGGATATTCGAGGTGTGGATCTGCAGCTAATAAATAATAAATTTGATTCACTATCATCAAACCAAACTTGATGCATCTCACTTCACTGACAAGCTTCTTGTAGGTGCTAATTTAATTTTCCACTTGGCACCTGCCCACACTGTCAACATTACCAGCACATAACCTTAATATCACTGTGCTGACGGGCCAACAAACCTACCTTGCTTTAACTTTACCTAGAAGCCATATTATAATGTTCAGAAGAAGCCATGCAATGCTCAGCAATGCAGGTGAGCTGAAGCCCGCAAATAAAGAATAGAAAATAACTTATCATCCTTTATAATACGTGCATGTTTTACATGTTTTTATAGTACGTTGACATTTCTGTCCGAGGCGTAGCCAGAACAATTATATAAGGGTGGCCAGGCAATAACCAATGTACACTGTAGGGTGGCCAAAAGCGGATCGGCACCAGAACCTCAGGGTCAATCTATACTGATCCAACAGGAAAATTAACAACCACAACAACCATATTTTCCAAATAAAGACCAACTGCCTTTCCTGCTGCCTTTGCTAACAAATAGACACATACACTATATTGCCAAAAGTATTTGCTCACCCATCCAAATTATTGGAATCAGGTGTTCCAATCACTTCCATGGCCACAGGTGTATAAATTCAAGCACCTAGGCATGCAGACTGTTTTTACAAACATTTGTGAAAGAATGGGTCGCTCTCAGGAGCTCAGTGAATTCCAGCGTGGAACTGTGATAGGATGCCACCTGTGCAACAAATCCAGTCGTGAAATTTCCTCGCTCCTAAATATTCCACAGTCAACTGTCAGCTGTATTATAAGAAAATGGAAGTGTTTGGGAACGACAGCAACTCAGCCACGAAGTGGTAGGCCACGTAAACTGACGGAGCGGGGTCAGCGGATGCTGACGCGCATAGTGCGAAGAGGTCGCCAACTTTCTGCAGAGTCAATCACTACAGACCTCCAAACTTCATGTGGCCTTCAGATTAGCTCAAGAACAGTGCGCAGAGAGCTTCATGGAATGGGTTTCCATGGTCGAGCAGCTGCATCCAAGCCATACATCACCAAGTGCAATGCAAAGCGTCGGATGCGGTGGTGTAAAGCACGCCGCCACTGGACTCTAGAGCAGTGGAGACGCGTTCTCTGGAGTGACGAATCGCGCTTCTCCATCTGGCAATCTGATGGACGGGTCTGGGTTTGGCGGTTGCCAGGAGAACGGTACTTGTCTGACTGCATTGTGCCAAGTGTAAAGTTTGGTGGAGGGGGGATTATGGTGTGGGGTTGTTTTTCAGGAGCTGGGCTTGGCCCCTTAGTTCCAGTGAAAGGAACTCTGAATGCTTCAGCATACCAAGACATTTTGGACAATTCCATGCTCCCAACTTTGTGGGAACAGTTTGGAGCTGGCCCCTTCCTCTTCCAACATGACTGTGCACCAGTGCACAAAGCAAGGTCCATAAAGACATGGATGACAGAGTCTGGTGTGGATGAACTTGACTGGCCTGCACAGAGTCCTGACCTCAACCCGATAGAACACCTTTGGGATGAATTAGAGCGGAGACTGAGAGCCAGGCCTTCTCGTCCAACATCAGTGTGCGACCTCACAAATGCGCTTCTGGAAGAATGGTCAAAAATTCCCATAAACACACTCCTAAACCTTGTGGACAGCCTTCCCAGAAGAGTTGAAGCTGTTCTAGCTGCAAAGGGTGGACCGACGTCATATTGAACCCTATGGATTAGGAACGGGATGTCACTTAAGCTCATATGTGAGTCAAGGCAGGTGAGCAAATACTTTTGGCAATATAGTGTATATTTAAACATCCATCTAGATAAAAGGTATAGTGCCGAGGTCTTCAACAGGGGGTCTGTGATCCCTAGGGGGTTCTTGGAGGTACTGCATGGGGGTCGCAAACATTTTTGTTGATTAGACTTTTTTTATTTTTTTTATATACTTATCATCTTTAAATCCTCTCTAAAAGCACAATTGTTCTTCTCCCTGGCTTTTCTAGTCTAAGTGAACATTTGGCAAAATTTTATTTTATTTTTTTTAAATGTATTTTAATAAAACCTTTATCCGATTATATTTTATCTCCATTCAATTTTTCTGTTTGTAATGTGTTTATGTATTTTAGCCTTCAGTTTTTATCTTGTGTTCCTTAACTGTGATTCCTGTACAGCACTTTGGTCAACCCCGATTATTTTATATCACATCAATGTTATATATTGATGTGCATAATTAACCACAGTGTTTTTGTTGTCAAGTACTTGTCAATCTATGAAAAATGTTAATTTTCAATTTTCAAGAGTATTGCTGCTACCATATATATATATATATATATGTATATATATATATATATATATATATATATATATATATATATAATTACTATTATTATTTATTAGAAAAAAATAATAATATTTATTTTTTGTTATTTTTTTATTTAAAAAAAAAAAAATATATATATATATATATATATATATATAAATATAATGTATTAATATATATATATATATATATATATATATATATATATATATATATATATATATATATAATGTATCAAGACAACACACACTGTTTCACTTTAACAGATGGGAAAAGAGAAGAAATAAAAATTAAAAAGGTGACTCAATGCTGATTGGCTGAGAGGGGGCACGTGGGCGGATTGATTTACATCCGGCAGACAGGTGAGAAACGGTAGTTGAAGAGACCTGTGTCATGTCTCTAACCTCTCAGCAGCTGGCCCATGGATTATGATCCTTCTTGGTGTCTCATCTGAACACTTACCAGCCTCCAGGTAACTACCGCAGACCAACCTGGTGTCTGACAGAAACTGGCTGGTATCTGTGATCGATTTCACGTGTTATCAGCAGGTTCACCTGGGCAGGAAATCTAAGCAGGCAGGCAGTCAGACAGGTGGAGCAGGACCTGCGGCATTCTGCCCACGGTGAGCGGAGACATTCGTCCGCCTCTGGGGGTGCAAAGTGCTGCTGGAGGGTTAGGGGGTTAGGATCTTAAAAGAAAAATCAGCTTTACTGTTTTGTCCCGCGTTATCCTTAAATAAACCTGATAGATATTGAAAAGTGACTTCTGTCTTCTGCTTGTTGCGACACTAATGGTGAGTTTTTGACTTCTTCTTACCTGCATACCTGGTGTAGCCCTTGGAGCTGTGCCATATCCTTCCGCTTCATTCAAGGAATGTGGTGTTTGACTCTAAACGTCTATCAGGGAAGGGTGTCTTTAATGTCTTAAAGCCATTACTCTACACTGAATATTCGTAATTAAGCTGCATATTTTGTAGGTAGAGCGCCAGCCCTTAGCAAAAAGTAGTATACTTGAAGTAAATTCTATTAAGAGTACTTAAGTATAAGTTTAGAAAATATACCGAACAATGTACTTTTAGTGTACTTGAAGTATTACTAAAGTAATACTTTTTCGAACTAAATTGGGACATTTTTAAGTTTACTAAAGTAAAGTATACTTTAGTAAACAATAAAGTAAACAATAGTATAGTCAAGTACACTTGACTATACTATTGTTAAGTATATGAAATATAGTTTAGAATAAGTAAACTCTAAGTGCACTGCCTGATTTTAAGGATGAAATTAGTGCACTTTTAGTATACTTGAATAAACTACTTTTTGCTAAATTTTATATTCCTAACTGGATTATTACACAGAAGTGTCCAAAACAGCTTTTTGGAAGCTAAAATTGCCAAGTGGGTTTAGCAGGGGCGTAGCTGGATGGGGGGGCCACCCTTAGCCACCCCTGTGGCCACCCCTACCATCCCCCCCCCCCCCCCCCCCCCCCCCCCCCCTAAAAATCAAGTGCATTATTCAAAATATTAACATTTTTCATATATTACTTACTATTTTTTCATATATTAATAATCACTTGATAACAAAAATACTTTGGTTAATTATGCACATCAATATACTAACGTTAAACATGGTAAGTACAGAATTCCTGCTCTTTTTAGAACTAGATTTTTTGTTTTATGAGGTAAAGAGAAAATGATGTCTTCATCTTCATCTAGGAGTCTTTAGTGAAATCATAGATAAATAACTATTTTAATAAAAACGTATTAAAAAATGTATTTATGTAGATATTAGTACTTGTAAATATCAATTTTATGCAGGATGATTATTGATAAAAGTTGGTAAGTAATGACAATGGAAAAGATGTTCGCCCCAGAACTCAAACCTTACAGAATTTTATTCACTTTACTTTTTATCTAAAAAGAATGAATCTTTAAATAAATGCATCTATTTGTTAGCAAGGCTGTAGGAAAATATAGTTTGTCTTTATTTAGAAAATATGGATGTTTTGCTCGTTTATGTTTCTGTTGGAACAAACGATGTATATTGACCGTGAGGTTCTGCTGCCTATCCATTTTCAGACACCCCTCAGTGTACATTGGTTATTGCCCGGCCACCCTTATAAAAATGTTCTGGCTTCGCCTCTGGGTTTTAGTAAATGGTGATGGGATATTAAATGACACTTACCTGGTGAAGTGATTCTCTTTGAAAGCTTTTTAAAACATTTCATAGAGAGCAAGATGGAAATAGGAATGCATAAACGGCTGGAGAATGGATTTATAAATTGCATTGGACAACTGTGCCACACCTTATTGGTACCATTGGTAAAGATTAGGGCTGCAACTAATGGTTATTTTGCAAATCGATTAATCTGTTTATTATTGTTGTGTTTTTTTTGTTGTTTTTTTTAATGATCATAATGCCAAAGGTTCATTAAGGAAGATTTGTTACAAAATTAAACCTGGTGAAGCTAAAAACTTTTCAACTTGAGGAGTTCTGGATAAAGCATATTGACATATGAAAAAATGTTTTGATATTAAATGCAAAATGTTTAAATATTTTTTTTTTTACAATCTTAATAATGATGATTACTGCTCTAAGTGGGCTGCTTTGTCAGCAAAAGGCATGTTTTATCATCTCCAGACTCCAATTAACTATTAATCCATTTCCAAATTAGTTGACGATTATTTCAATAATAAATTAATTAATCTTTTCATGGTATAAAAGGCTAGTTATTACAAGTCTCACGGCCAAACAGCTGCTTCAATTAAAATTTTATTATAAATTATTATCGGAGCCGTTGTAATTAACTGTAAATGTGTAATACAGTGATATTTTCTACTTGGAAAAGACAAAAGAACTCTACGGTGATAAGGCAGAGCTGTTTTTTAAATGGCAACTAGAAATTGACTTTGGGCCTTATTTAGAATAGCAAAAAAAAAAAAAAATGTGAAAAGTTTAGAACAATACCAGTCTAAAAAATGGCTTTGAATTATGTTTCTTGTGTATCCTCATAATGCCCCCACATTGCCTGTGTAGTGACCTATGAAACATTGTATCAAATAAATTTTGTGATTGTGATTGTTGCAAACCATGATGTTGCGATGATGATATATATTCAGCATCATATATGGAAATCCTGATGTCTTTCCATGAATCTGAAACATGCAGCCAATTTTTCTACACTTTTTCAAAGCGTAGGAAACCAAAAACGGAAAAGATTTGCAAGTGGTTGGAAGTTATTTTGCAAAGATGTTTACCTATTATTACAACACTCCTCCCATTTTTTTTTCTTGTATTTGTGGTTTACCTGATCGCAAAATGGTTTAGTCTTGTTTTTGCTTTTTGAGCTACTGTTTGTGTTGGAGTCTGACTGCTTATGTTTTTGTAAAAGCATTCTTCTGAAGATCACAACAACAGCTTAAACAAATGCATCATTGCACAAAACACTACAACCTTTTTAAATTTAAAGATGCTTTTCTGTCTTTTACCCCCTCAGATAATTAGACAAAAAGCCAATCTGTCACACTGCGATTTCCTTTGGAGGTTGCAATGCTACTTTATATGTCAATAAATCAAATTGTTATGATTCTTGATTGAGTCATGACGACTTGACATGATCATTTGCTATTTAGGTGATAATTTCTTTCTTCTGCTCACTTCCTCTTAAAGTGGGGATGACTTTTACTTTTTGAATCTCATCTAGCTGCAGATAATTTGATTTAGAAAGTATTCTGATTTTATTTTTCTATTTTCTTTAACTGGTTACTGAAAAATCTGCAACTGCCAGATTGTTAAAATTCGTATAGACTGAAATAAGTCTATAACAATCCCTTTCATCGGTCTTTTTGTAATGTCATCCTTTTTCATTCACTAAAGCACCTTTTCTTGCTGTTGATTTCACTTAAATGCTTCTGAACATCACATAAATTGGATTATTCAATAAATATTGTTAGTATTCTTAGTTTTTAAACTTTTTTTTTTTTATCCATTAAGGAACGAAACAAGCCATCAATTCAAACTTCCTCAACATGAGCCCCTTGTTTAATCCTAAATCAACTGATTGAAAATGTTAAAAGTTGAAAAGTTATACAGAGTAGAGCTGAATTTTACAAGTGGCATTGTAAAAGGATTGCTTTAGGTCATTCCATGTGTTCCTTTTTGGTTCATTAAAGGTTGTGAAATGTTTTATTTGACAAATTGGGCAAAATAAATTGAGAATCTTGAAGCCATGAAGTGTTCCTGTCTTTTTATATTTGGGTAAACATTTTTTTTTTTCCATTTCCAAGAACTGTTCATATTGATCTTATTTATTTTCTACCTTCAGGTGTGCTGCTAAGTCAAGTCATCCTCTGATGCTGTTTTTGTCCAGATGCAAAACTGAAGGCAGCACAGGTCTGATAAATTCCCCACTAAGGTAAGCTACATGTAGACCTGTTTTGTTTAATTAATATGATCTAATGCTGGGCTGGGAAATCTATGACTTCAGAAGATTCCTTTCTCAAAACAGTTTTTGTCAATGTTTTTTTTTGTTTTGTTTTTTTCAATAAAGGTAGACTTGGGTTTCGACATCTGCCAATAAAAATAATTTTGTTTGTATGAAGTTAGTTCTGTACCAATTTACCTATTTTTATGCTTTTTTGATTAATTGTGGCAAACCACATTTAAAGCCCAAAACTGGCTTCTTTGTTTCTGCTAACTGGCTTTACGCTTGGATGTACGGCCCCTCGGTTTCACTGGATTTGAACGCGGTGCATGCAGCAGTGTACTGATAGCAGCGACTTTAGACAGTAAGCCAACCTGGAGAGGAGCAGATCATTCAGGCAGGAAGCTGGTGCACGGAAATCAAAATGGGTCTGGTTCAGTTTACAAATAAATGACTATATGTGCAGACTTGGATAGCATTTTCTGAACTTTAATGCTATAACAAATTCTGTTCATACAGTTGGTCAAAAGCATAAATACAAGCATTTAAAAGGGTTTTAAATGTAATTTATCCTGGTTCACTGCCATTGCAAAATAAAACAGCAGCATCTTCAGAAAGAATGAAAAAAATCTTAAGCAATATGAACCATATGACTTAGCTTTTCTAATCAGAGTTTAAAAAGAATTTAGATATAATGAAAGTCCAAACTTTACTAAATTTCAAAATAACCTCCATTGTCGGCTCCTGTCTGTTTTGCTGTGAAACCTGCTAGTGTATAAAGCCAATTGGCTACAGTGAAATGCACTGCTCTCTGTAGTCAATGAATACTGCAGGCGATGCTGAAATGTTACTTGGCAGTAAAAGTGTGCAATTGGAGAGGCTCCTGTGGAAAGTTGTTCGCTAAAGGGAGGGACATTCAGTACAATTCTTCATCAAACTCTTACCAAATCCATTTGTTTTTTTCAAAAAGAAATAAAGGGTATTTTAGCTAAAACCAGTGCATGCATCGATGTCATGCACATCACTGCATTTCATTGGTCTAAAACATTACTGTATTGAGGCTAACGCTGTTATCCGTTTGCTTCTACCAAAATGTATTCTCAGGAGTTTGTGAGTTAATTCGTCTTGCTTGAACGTTAAGCTCTGTCATGGGGTTGTTAGAAAAAACGCCTCTGTCTCCAACAGGCATCTGTAACATGTTGGAGCGAGTCTAAATGCTGACCATAGTTGTTAGAGTTCAATCTACATGTAACATATCATCTGAAATGCTAATACCAACGGAAACTCAAACTGTTCTCATTCTACGGGAAACATGGCTGCACTAGAAACAGTAGGTCTATATAAACTGGTATCGCTCAGGGCCTCTCGGCCCAGATAATGTTGAGAATGATATAGATGGTAGTAGTTCAACTAACTACTATTTACTCCAGTGGAATAAGGAATGCCATCTCTGAATGTACAGCATAGTAAACCTGGAATTATATGGGCTGCTGCAGTTTCAGACCGCACAGGGTGCACCGCCTGTCAGCTAAAAACAGGAAACTCAGGCTACAGGTGACGGGTCTTTATTTGAGCTGTCACATTCAGGTAGTAGAATCAAATTGTGATTGAAAACATAAAAGCATGACCTCCATTTGCCTCATATGAACAATTTAGTACGGGGTGCAATGGTGAGGGGGGGGGGTATATTCCTGGCATTCTTTAGCTTCGTCATGCCAACTGAGCATGGTTATAATGATACAGCCTGCTTACCTTTATGAACACAGTGTCCCTATGCTGGAATTTCTAGATCTATGCACCAAATCTTCGAGCTTGATAGTCTTGCAAAGGTTTCCTAGATATTATTATTATTTTTGTGCACTAATGGCTTCCACAGTCACAATATCTCAATCCAAATTAGCCCACCTGTAATGTGGTGGAATGGGAGATTCAAATCCTGGATGTGTACCTGACAAACTGGAGCGACTATGTGAAGCTGTTATAACAATATGGACCCAATTCCAAGATTGTTTCCAATCTCATTGTTGCATTTATGCCATAAAAAAGCTACATAGTTCTGGAGCTACAAGGCGATACTAACAATGCTTTTAAAAAGAGGAGTGTATAACCATGACTCTGTTCTGTAAACTGATAAAGGATGGGGGAATTGCTTACCAAAGCTAAAAAAAGAAGAACATCCAAAGGTGGATAATTCTGGTGTTAAACCTTTTTTGTACCAAAAAGCTGAAACAAAATGAGAGTGCAATTTATTGAAATACCTTGATGACCACTGTCTTTGTGTTACTACATTGAAAGTAAGTGCAACAAAAGCTTAACCATCTATAAGGACTCAAAAATGCTAAGGAATTGATTTTGGCTTGTTTTGCTTAGAGTGCTGTTGCCCATAAAACCTACAAGCAATTGTGAAATTTAACACTGTTTTTAAATAAGATAGTCCTCTTGTGTTTTGCCAGCATGTCTGTTTGACCTTCATGTGATTTCTCTTCCCAGGTGTTACACAAGGCAGGAGTGGTTCCCACCTGCGATGTCAGCGTCTGTCTTCAGCCTGTTTTCCCTGCTCACTTTGTCCTTGCTGCTCTTGCTGTGTGTCATACGGAAGAAAAGAAGGATGGAGGGGAAGTACAGACCCAGTGCAGAGGAGAAGAAACAATCTAGAGCCACCGTACCCGAGAGGCCCAGCCTGCCTTTACCGTTACCCAAAGAAGAGCGTCTAATATAAAGAGACATAGATTGAGTAGCCTTGGTGTTACTAGGCTGCATTTGTACACCAAAAGGATTGCTGATCATGTAAACACACTTGGTGGTATTTTTTTTTCTGTTCTCGTTGAGAAAAAATGAACTGATCAATCGGAGAATGGAAGGTTTGCCGTCAGGTTTACTATTTAAACCATCACTTTTTCTACTGCATCGCTATAAGTTATAGTGTATTTTGTATTTAAATGCACAATAATATATTTTCTTACTTTTTGTATATTTGTAGAAGAATGATGACATAAAAGCCTAACGGAATTGCACTTTTTTTAATACGTGTTCAAAGACTTGGTTATTAGGTAGTGTGCACACAATGGTGGATAAGGTGTCTGATTAAAATGTCTGTATGCAAATGAAAGATTCCCACTTTTTTTATTGGAAAACGTTTCAAAAGACAAGTTTATTAAAGCTTTTTATTGAAATTCTGTTAATCTACAAAAAATGTAAATGCATTTCCTAAAAATGTCAGTTTGTGCTGGAAGGAATCTAACGGGCTACATAAAAAAATTAGCATGGATTAAAGTGCCCATTTAAGTTTAGACAGAATGCAACATGGCTGCCTTTTAAATGGATACTTTGGACTTTAAGTTATGTTCTCTGAAGTTATCACTAAAAATCCCTTACCTGTTGTAAAATGTGATTTAAAAATAAGATTTTTTTTAGAATGCAACAATAGTGCATACCAAGTCAAGTCACAGTTTTGACAGTACAGCAACATCCATGTTACAGCAACCCTAAATACACTGACTTAAAATAAAAACTTCCAACTGACCACAACTCAGCTGGCCTAAATGTACAGCATCTAAGAGTTGCAGCTTATCCATTCAGTCGTCCAGTGCAGAATAGTGAGGGCCTCTGATTTATGGAAGTATCATTGAGGGCTGATGATCCATCTCTCCACCCAGCAGAGCAGAATGAATTCTGATTAAAAACGAAAACTAACCCTGTCTCAGCAGCACTGACTTTGAAAAATAAAATATAAATGCTTCGTTTTTTTTTTTGTTTTTTTTTATCATTGGGTCACTTTTAAGATATTCAACAGAGGTTCACCTGGTGTTTCTTTACAAAATTATATCGCTTTAGGCAGGTAGGCAAGACTTTTCCATCTTTGCAAAAGTTCAACTAAATTTTCTATTTTGCTTAGGCTATCATTTGTACAGTGTCATGGAAATTGTACTTTGACATGCATACTAACCCAAAACCTCCATATTTACACAGAAGTGTTCCTCTGAGAAAACTGTGACAAACCAAAAGGTCTTATGAAAATGCACAATTCCTTGACAAAATAGTGTTGCATCCACTATTTGACTGTATAGGTCATTTCAAAAATCTGTATTTCTTAAAGATTTATTGACTTTTCTGCAAATTCGCAGCATTTATACCAATGTATTACAGGTAAGAATATCTTTAGTAAGTTGAAAGAACCAGAACAAAAATCTCAACTGTAACCATATTATACACACCATCCTTACTGTCAGATATGTCTCTCTTCCAGCACACTAGTATCAGCTGCTACCATTGAAACCAGCAACTCCTACCCTTAGAAAAAAAACGATTTTAAAATGAACATAAATAAAACAACCTGCTTTGGGTTTTTTAGTCTGCTGGTGCTTTAGTTTGATTTAGGGTCACTTGAGAACCAAAAATTGTTTTTGCATGCGTGTATGTCTTCAATAAAGCAATGTGTCTTGAGTCCTGAGGAAGAGTTCCAATAGGGATTAACATAAGACCAACCGAACCAGAACTCACAGGCAATGCTATGTATCTCTTCTTCTCAAGGACCAAACTGGAATACCTGCGAAATGGAGGCTGGTGTAACACCATCAACTGGTCTCGGATAAAGAGGACCGTGGATAGATGAAGCCTTTGGTGTTACATACATTAAGCCTCAAATCTCTTCTTTAGTTCAGACACTTTGACCAGAGGGCGTTCCTCCTCCTCCTCAGGCGCCTCTATGTTTTTGTTTGTGTTTACGTCATATAGAGTCTGTACCTTTTCCCTGCAACGGAGAGGAACCTCAACGGAGTTCTTAGAAATGGTCCTTCGCTGAAATCCTTGCTGGCTGCATTGCTGAGCCTGGAAGCGTGCTACAGCAGAGTGCACTTTGGGAGGAGGTGAGGTCAGGCGCATCCCATCCTCTTTCTTTGGGGTTTTATCAATGTTTTCTTCGTGAGATGCAGAATGTTTGGGGTTTGCAGCATTATTACTAGGCGATGGAGGGACTACAGCTTCATTTTGCAGCTCTTCCACCGAGTGTGAAAGTGGGTCATTCCTGTTTATACACTTTGAGTTTGTTTCTTTAGAAACAATATTCTTTCCCTCTTGGATTTCTTTCGCTTCTTCTTTTGTCTCATTCTCTTGCACATCTTTTTTTCCCCCTTCCTCCTCTTGTACTAGTGCTACCAACTTACTTTGGATTTCATCGTCTTTCCTTGAATCCTCTATCCTTTCATCTTGCAACCCTTCAGTTATTTCTTCACCACTACTTTCATCAACTCTCGCCATATTTTCTTGTTTTTCCTTACTTTCTTCCTCTTCTACCTTAATTTCCTCAAAGTTATTTATGTCGTTTATTTCCTGTTTCCCATTTAGTTCTCCATTTGCTTCTTTCTCTTTTCCTCTGTCCTCCTTCTGTCTTGCTTCATGTTCGTCAACATCAGTTGCCACCAGAGGACATTCTGCCCCCTCCTCTTCTGCCAAGCTGGTGTTCAGACAATGCCATTCTGTGTCCTCTATCTGATCAGAAAGCTCCTCTGTGGTCTCCAGATTCCAGCTGTGCAAGCTGCCGCTGCCGCTGATGGAAAGGGACAGGCTCTCCTGGCTGGGGTTGGCTGTACCACGCTGACAAAGAAGCAAATGAGGGAGAATTATATCTGATTTCAATGTAGATGTTTGGGAGTGTTGATCGACTATTGTTTTACCTTTATGATGTAATCATGGCTGTCTGGTCCAAACAAATCCAGGCTGCGAGTCCCATACAGCAGGCCTCGGTCATGGGAGCTACGTGAACTAAGTGTGTCAAAGATCTCCCCAAGGAGATCCATCTCCTCTGGGTCACATAATGGTGAATCATCACCTTCTTCTTCTTCCTTGGGGAGCTCAGAGTCAAGCTCTCCAGCAGATCCCGACACCTCACTGAGAACAAAAAAAAATCAATAAAACTCAATTTAACTTAGACACAATCCTAATTTTTGGCGAACAAGCCATGCCAATTTAGTTTGTAGACTAAAGAGATATTAAAACATCTAATTAGGGATTATTTATATGGACTGTAATTGTGCAGAAAAGGAAGAGAAATAGTTAAAGCTTTTTCTACTGCATTGGCATCTATATGCACATTCAAATTATCTGCTGGCTGTATTCATATTCTAGCTTATAGCCTGTTTGTTGTTTGACTTTATTTTACAGAACAAAGGGGTGTTTTGCACTGAGATTATAAAAAGGAAACAAAACCAAAAAAAAGGAAGAGATAAAACTAGTTTCCCCTCTTCATCTATCAATGATGTCAGCAATGAGCGTTGGTTTGGCTATGTTAGCAATGCTATATATTTCTCTCTTGATTGAGCTTTGCCCCATTTTTTTCTGGTTTGGGTTAACCATGACCTTTGTCTGTGCAAAACATTGGTGCATACTGTTGTTTAAAAGAAAACCATCTTTAGAATATAACACCTATATTCAAAAACTGGTTATAAACTTGCAAAACGAATATTTTAATGACCATGGCTGCAATATATTTTATACTAATTTTGCCATAAAAACTTAAAATACATGTTTCACTTAACAAAATAACCCGGAGCCTTAAGAACGAGGCTGCAGTTTGGCACTTGGCTTTGCAGGTATAGGAATTTATCCAGGTCACTTAGAGGGTGGAATAAAGTTTATTTAATCCCCAAAACCTAAAAGGATGTCTTGAAAATTACTAAAAAGGCCTACGGCCAACATCGAAAGCAGACATACCGCAAACGTCTGTATGAAGGTAAATACAGTTAAGTCTCTAATTTTATGAAATATTTACATTGCATAAAGCTATATGTGCTTTGTGTTGTGTTAAAATGCTGCAACCTCTAGTTGGATTTGTTTTTTTCTTTCTTCGGTGCGATCAGCCAATGTTGATCACAGTAAAGGTTATTGATAGGTTGAAAAATATAATCTATGGCATTCTCCACATGAACTTTGTTTAGAGAGCAAATTAGTTAAACTAGGAATATAAGTGAATATTTCTTACCTCTAGATGATAAAGGGATTTTAATAATATCCTTAATTTCTGTGGAATATGCATCAGCATGAATGTGTGGTTTACATGACAATTAGCCAGTGTTCTGCTTTTAAGAAAAGACTTGACAACAGTCTATAGATGTAAAAAAGACGTGAAGATAATCTACTTATCTTTTTTAATTCATTTTAGAAAACAGGTTTGTAGTTGGTGCAGTGGTTCCTATATCCTTAATAAACTCCTAAAATAGCTAAAACGCTGGTTTAATTTAATAAATGTAAAAAAAAAAATAATAATTTTTTTGTGGGGTTTTCTTTGATCACTCTATTTAAACTGTTCACTGAAACACCAGTAGTTTAAGGTTGCTTTCAACACTTTTTTAAATATGCCTTTATTTTGCCACCTCAATGTGTACTTATCACTATCTACACTTAAGAAATGTAGTGGATGACTACCTTTCCTTTAATTTTATTAAAAAAACAAAATTGAACTGGTGGTATTCCTACTACAGTAAAATATTTGGGTAATCTACCTATATCTGTTGATTCACCGCATGGCAAGTTACTCCAAAAATGATCTCTTAAAACAGAGAGAAAATATGAAGAGAGAGACAGCAGCATATATAGCCAAAACTGTGAAATCTTTCACATTATTAATACATACTATCAGAATACTGCTTTCTGTCACATCAGTTATAATTAGTCTCTGCTGTTCTCTTTCTCATTAGTGCTTTCAGCTTTCTGTGAATTTTACCATCTTGGGCATTATAATTTATTTTAACTGGAAGGATGTACCTGCAGTTAGACTACAAGCAACAGGCTCAAAATAACTTTAGAATGCAAAGTGTGAATACAAGATCTAAAATCTGAGATAAACATTTGAAAATATGATGTACAACTACTGGAATAATTTATTTTCAGCTTTAATATATGTTTTTCTCAAACCTTAATCAAGATCTCATTGTTTCCCTAGATGTTAAAAGAAACGCCAAAAACAATGCGGTGCTATTGAGATGGTAGCTTTTAGGGTGTTATTAAAGATATAGAGGACCATCTTTTATTTCTTGGTGGATCATCTAAATAAGTGGTCCGTCTAATTGTCGATCATTCTGGTGATATGATTACGTAAGGCTGCCCTACGTGCTCGTCCTGTTAGCTACCTTTTTCTCTGCATGCGCACTTTCAGCCGCATATTTGTGGCGAGCTACGGTTTCAGACAGTCACTGAAGCTCACCTTTCTCACCGTGCTTCTTTGAAAATGGCCGAGGGTTGTAAGAGCAAAAAGTGTCTACGAAGTGTATGAGAAGAAAAAAATAAAAGGCCTCAGAGGAGGATTACATATCTCTGCACAAAGCATTATGCGATTTGCTGTCACAGCGGCCCACTGTCGCCATAGGCTGTCGCTACCCCACAGTGGTGACTAATCACAAAGATGGCGCAGGCAGAGGGGGAGGAGTTACATGACCAACAGAGAAAAAAGCAGTGATCATCTGTCCGAACGGTCACTTAACTAAATTGCTATAAAGTCCACTATATGTGGACACAGTAAGCTTATATGAGCTATGACAACAGCACACACACGTGGAGAAACTGGCTTTTTTTTTTAAGAGGAAAGGGCAGGTCTTTTAAAAAATCTTCCACAATACTTTTCATACAAAATAAATGTTAATCTTAAATAATTCTGAAGTGTTTTTTTTTTTATCTTCCTACCCTTGTGTTGACAACTAAAAGCAGCGTCCACCTTTTAATCTGTAAGAATCAGCCAGAATGTTTCCTGTAGTCACTGCAGTATTTTTAAGGCTTTGGCTACACATGAAATTTTAAAACATAACTTTTTTTTTAGACAAAATATTTCATTCATTTTACATTTTAAATTTTTTCTAAATTGACGGGTGAAAAAGACATATCAGAATAAACATGCTTTAATTAGTGTATAAGTGGACTTCCTATCCCTACCTGTCTCTGAGGTCTTCAGGGTCATTTGAGTATTCCGTCTCTCTGAGTTTATGACCAGGTCGACGGGGTCGTGACTAATGGAACAGAACAAATTGCACAGGTTTGAATAGCTGATCGGATATATATATATATATATATATATATATATATATATATATATATATATATATATATATATATATATATATATATATATATATATATATATATATATATATATATATATATATATATATATATACATACATATATATATACATACATATATAGTATTTAGCAGCACTAAAATTGATCCTATCTGGGTTTAGGCCACTAAAAATACTGCAGTCTCACTTTTCCAAAATGCTGTGTGATTGGCAGCCGGCTCTGTAAGCTGTCAGACTGAGCACGGCGGTGTAACATTGATCCCCCCCTCTGCAGGCTGTGATCCTCATGGTGGACCTAGAAAAAAACTGGCAGTTAGCAGCATTTGGGTGACATCAAATATTTTAAAACATGAACATGAACCTACCTTTTGAATCAGCAGGTTTTTCAAACCAGACTTGGAAAGAACTTTGGCCTGTTAGAGATAACAGCGAACAGTTAGGTGGTAACCTGCAATACAAAGCTGTCCTCTATAAAGCACAGACAAACAGCCTCTGGCTGCACTCACCTTCATATTGGCTTTGGTCTTCATGTTGAGGATTAGAGCTCCACCACCTCTCTGTAAAAAGGACAAATGTAAGACTTTTCAGTCCAAAAAGCAAACTAGGAATCACTGAATGAACTTACCCTTAAATTGCCAACTAACTGCTGATAGGATTTGCCCCTCCCTGTAAATTAGAATAAAAATAAAGCAGTCAAAACTAGTTAAAATTCAATAACTTAAAAAAATCTCTCTCTCTCTCTCTCTCTCTCTCTCTCTCTCTCTCTCTCTCTCTCTCTCTCTATATATATATATATATATATATATATATATATATATATATATATATATACATTCAATAAGTAGTGTTGACATGTTTTGCTCACTTTTACTGTAAACACATTAAAACAAAATATACCAAAACTGAGATGCCAGCATCAGCATTGCAATTCAGCTTGGCTTTAAAAATTAGGTTAGCATAACCTCAGTTGACCAAAACTTCTGAGTATGCTCAGTTGAAATGGTTCAAATAAATAAGACTGTCTCATTGAAAACCAAGTGGAATTCAATGTCTGTAGAAGAATATTTACTCCTGCACTTGGAATATCAGGGGTGAGTGATTTAAAAATCCTAAAATGTAGTGTGTTAGTTCACTACATAAGCTTTTACAAAACATTGATTTTATCAAAGTACTGTATCAAACTGCAGCTGTTATCAGACAATGACTGGTTTTCGATGCCTTGCTGTCCTTATAATCTAAAAAATACACACCTGCTGTCATTTCACACTTTGTTATCTCATCCTCAAAGAGGTCATCTGGTCCCTTCCCTTTGTTAAGAATGTCCAGGCGACTGTCAATGAACTGCAAAAAAAAGTGGAGAAACAATTCTTAAACCAGATGAATTACTTGATTATCCTATCAACTTTTAGTAACAATGGAATATAATAACCTCTAAGGCATTGATCTCAAACTCAACTTTTGATGAAGTTTTAGACACAGTCCACCTGTTTCAAATGGTTTAACTACCAACCCAAGCTTAGCAGAGATTTGCTATAGAGCTCAGATGGAACTTAGATGTACTGAAATAGAGGCACATCTAAAAGTTGCAGGGGACAGGCCTATTGAGGACTTGAGTTTGAGACCAACGCAAGGTTTATTCTAACTTTTAATCTAAAATTATTAATTCCTTTTGTAAACTGTGGTTTAAAGCAATCATGTAATTTCACAGACATGTTAAAGAATCTGTTCAGGGAGAAATATATCAGGGTGATGAGAAAAAAAAAATGGAAAAATCCAAAAGGCTGGTCAGGATTTCATAAGGAGGGATGAATTAACATTGCAAATAAATAAAATGCTCTAAAATTCTGAAAAGGGTAAAAAAAAAAAAGTAACTAAAAAAAGTAACTTAAAATGTAAAATGTAATTTGAAAAAATAAATAAATTACTAATACACGTAGATAAAATGTTTCCTTTTTAGAATGATACTGATTTTAATACTGAGTGATCCCTGCCTCCCTGCCCAGCAGAGGTCGCTGTTCACCTGTTTGAAGAATTGCAGATGAATGGCGCTTTGCAGGAACTGCTTCATACTGGCAGACTTATGATCCAAAAAGAACTCCTCACAGAAACAAATTTCCCCTTCCTGTTAAGAGAAATGTATATAGAGATGCAGCACGCAAGAAAATATACCGTAATTGCAAGGGGAACATTGATATTTAGTGACTAACCTTGTCACCCTGCAGGGCATCCCTGTAGCTGCCAAACAGCAGAGCTTGAGCTTTCAGGAAGGCTCGAGAGACACCACAGCCAGGTGACACTGCCTGGCGCTTTAAACAGACCTTCAGGCCTGACATCTGAAGATAGAAATTCATGAAATATTAAAAGCTGCTGCCCGGTGATATTGAAAAGTATAACAGGCTGAAGTAACCTTTACCTTACAACACTCATTGCAACTTTCTTGATATATTCATGCCTATATAAAGTTTATTTTATTCACCACATCTGAAGGTATCCTCTTCAGGTCATCAAAGGGGGTTTCCAGAGTGTTTGTATCTACATTCAGAATAACCACTTCCTCCAACCCACGACTCCTCACTCTCTGTTGAAGGAAAATTAGACGGTCATGAAAAGACTTGATCAGTTCATAAGCTGGTGGGATAAGTGGTTAAGATAGTGAGTTACCTCCGAAAGACTGGTGTGGACTCCGATCAGATAAGGCATGGGTGCACTGTAACCATAGGAAAGTTGTATCATTTTATCAGGGAGGGCGGTAGGAGAATTGCCATGTTTAGTGGTGGATGGATGGATGGATGGATGGATGGATGGATGGATGGATGGATGGATGGATGGATGGATGGATGGATGGATGGATGGATGGATGGATGGATGGATGGATGGATGGATGGATGGATGGACATCTCACCAGCAGTAGTCGAGTAGATGTGGTGGTAGGACAGGTATGAAGATGTGCTGCCAGTACATTGGGTATAACACAGCACTCAGAGCATGCACACAAGATGTTAGCTGTGCACACAAAGTAGAAAATGACTTTATAACATATCAACACATACACCTATGTTATACAGTGATTTGGTTGCATTTGTAAAAAAAAAAATAAAAGAAAAGAAAGTAACGGCATTCTAATCATAGTTTTTTGTTTAATCACACTTTAAAAGACAAACTTCCGGTTAGTATTTGAAATATAATCAGGTTGCTGTAGACATAAAAATACAGCATAAAAGGGAAAATGTGCATCTTACAGTGCTCAGTTTGCTTGCCAAGATAAGGATCCGCCTCTCAAACAGCATGCTGGCATAGAGCTGTAGAAGATTCCCAACATCTACTGCTACTATCAGTTCAGTCAGGTTTCTCTGGTTAGGTCCAAAAAACAAGATATGGGGTAGGGAACTTAGTTAAGGTATTTATTTCGCTAGGGATGTTTCACATTTAGTGACATTACAATCATACAATTTTTTTTACAAGTTTTTTATTGTTTTTTATGCAAGAGCCTACAACAAAGAGGTTAATAAGTTTGAACTGGATGAAACATAAATATTTAATATAATCTACGAATTTAATCTTAAAACAGTAGCATGAAGTTATTCTTTGCCTTCCTGAGTAAAGACTTGCAGATCCTCCAAGTCTTTTAGAGTATGTCTCTTAAAAACTTTGCACATCTAAATCTGATTTAAAAAAATTCTGAAACAAATCAAGCTAACAATAATATTTCAGGCTTTGCTTATGATTCTCGTGGGATATCCATGCCTTGGTCGCCTTGAGTCTATCAGAATCCGGACTACGTTTTTACTAGGATTGCCTCCACCCATCTCCCCATCAACTCTTACCATCTACTCTGCCCAACTTGTATGATGCAACCACCATCATGCTCAGCTATAGTCAAGATGATTTTTTAAAATGGTACTGTGCAAATTGTTTTACACTAGATGTGGTCTGAAGTAGCCCACAATGTCTCATTTCTGTCTAAACTGACCAGCGAACCACCTTCAACTACATAGTTTGTTGAAAGATCAATTTATGTGGTGTGTTGCTTTGTCTTCATGATGCTGTTTGCTCAGTAATGTTCGTTAAAACAAGTCTGGGTTCATCAAAGAGTAGGTAGGATTACACAGACATAAAATTACACAATGGTGGACCATATTTACCTAATTATTTAATTAACCATACTCACATTTTCAGGAATAGAAGGAAGACTCTTTGGGTCTGGAGCGATAAAATATGGAATCTGCCCCAAAACAAAATGATACCACAAGAGGAATAATTAAATAGTACAGAGAAAGTTATTTATCCTGTATTATTATGTACGTACATTCTTTATATTGTGCACATGTGAGTAAAAGGCTGAAAGATAATATTTAACATGTTCATTCCAAAATTATCAGCCCATCAGATTTATTTCACCTTCAAAATATGATACTGCTGAACAGTTTTCGTAGCTTTGAGTCAAAAACCTTTTTTCAACCATCTACAGTGCAATTTTTCTGTAACAGTGCACAGTTTACTTCCTGATCATTTGCTAAAATGTCTTATCCTGATTTCAGATTGCCTAAACCTTATGTAGGCTGCAATAAACTCCATCCAAAAAGTGCCTTTTCTGACACTGATAGGTTGCAAAAGAGTTGTGATCTCCATTAATAGTTATTTTGTATGGAAATGCGATATATACATACATATTTTTATAGAGCAGATGGCTTTGTTATTTTGGAATGACACTCAAATATGAAAATGTTACATCATGATAAAATAGTTAGATAATAGTTTAGAGCGACATGGAGTAATTCTCAGACACAACATTTTGATTACAAGGCATTAGTCATGACATTTGAAAAGACTATGGTAACCAATCCAAATTTCAGGATGAAAGGTAGCTTGTGTTAACTGTGTTAATTCAGGCATACACGTATAATCTTTTAGAGGGGTGAGTCAACAGAGTCTAGTTCACACAGCTTAAGTCATCAAGCAGACAGACAGCTTTTTCCCAGCAGGAGGGAGTTAGTCTGTGCAGGCCTGCCTGGATCCTATGGGCAACATGAACTCCTGTGGAACTCACCCCCTCCTGTCCCTCTGTGTGTCCAACAGGACAGGACACATCAATGCTCACCAAAAGCTGCTCTCCCTCAGGAAAAAAACACAACACGCAAACCACTGACAGAACACATTCCAACTCAAGTTTGACTCCCGGCTTCTCACTGGCTAATTGGGAGACTTACCATCTGCAGGGTGACCGATCCAGGAGCCAGAGGTATGGATTGTTTGTGGAGAACAGCCAGAAGCGCTTTAATCTCGTTAATCTGTTGACAAGATGGTATATTCATTGCAAAAGCAACTCTTTGTGAATTTGAGTAGAGATAAGAAAAACTAGAAGTCACCTGTCCTTTAGAGAGGTAATCCGCCAAATTGTTGAGAAGTTTGTAAAACACCTCAAACCATGGAAGATAACTAAGAGAAAACAATATAGGATTAAATGAATGTGAAACAAGACAGAAAGATTTTCAGAGATAATTGCATAATTAGGTGGCCAAGTTGGGTTATAATGTCTTTTAAAACATAAACAGAAATTCTACATTACAAAGGCCAGCTAAAAACTAATAAAAATGTCTTGAAATAAGTGTATTTACCTTTAATTTAAGTGAGTAAATAACATAATCTATGTTTGCCCTTAAAATAAGATAATTAGATATTATGCACTCGAAATAAGAGACTGCAGCTGTTTTTATTATTTTGAATGACAAAGAAGTCAATAATTTTGAAATGGAGGGAACATAATGATCTAATATAATTTATGAATGATAACTTGAAAGTGTAGCATGAAGTTATTCTTTGCTTTCCTGAGTAAAGACTTGCTAAAAAAGAGCAAAAACACAAAAACAATACAGACTCAGTCAGATTAGATGGAGACTGGCTGTAAAGATAATAGTTCAGGCTTTGCTTATTGTTCTCAATGGATATGCTTTGTGATATTTAGATATTATGCACTTGAAATAAGAGACTGTAACTGTTTTATTTTAAATTTAAAATAAACATTAGTGAAGTGTCTCACTTACCTGCTAATTTAAGGACAAATGCTCTTATTTAAAGAAAAAATTACTAAGATTTTAACTTTCTTAGTGTATTAATTTGGGCATTTTTAAGCTCTCATTCAATATGCCTCTTAGACAGAAAAACAATGGAAATCCAAAAACCCCCTTGATTATTTCAAATTTACTATTTTCAACTAAGTGAAGACATTTTTTTCAGGTACTGTAACTGGATGGATTTGTAAAATAACACTTTAATTCAAATTAATACCAATAAAGAAATAATTCAGATAGAGTCTTGCTTACAGTTTCTGTCATACTCAAACTCAGATTTTTGCACAAGCTAGAAATGAGATTCTGAAAAAATAAAATAAAATATATGATTCTATATTTCTCAAAAAAAAAAAAACAAAAAAAAAAAAAACGTTCCAACAGATAAAGACTGGGTACAAAATCAAGGGACCCACAGTGGGTTAAAAGTAATACGCATGTTTCTGGGGAAATAAGCATACCTGAGGATGCAAAGGCACGTCTGTGTGCCATTGGTGAGGCGACAGAAACCAAAGCGCTGGCATCCTTCCAAGTCAGTCAAAACAAAAGTAAAGTGCTGCACGGCAACATTATCCTTTGGTCTGATCAGAAGAGGGTAGTAAGAAGAGGATATTTATTGAAATAAACAAGTGAAAGATGTGCAGCTAAAACCTTAATTCTTCCCAATTCACACTCACTTTTGTATGTCATATGGGAAGCAGAACTTTGGCAAAGTTTGAGTAGACTCCTTGAAAACGACAAAGAGAGACAAAGACAAGCCAGCTAAATAAGGAGTAAATTTGATGAAAAAGTAAAAAAAAAAAGACATTAACATGTCAAAATATTTTTTGCTGTTGATCGTGGACTTAACAAGCCTGACTTTCAGTAAGACGACCATAAAAAAGATAAAACATTTGGAAGTCAACTTCTCCTCACTGATGATAAGTAGGTTGTTAATAGTAATTTTTTTATAATTTGAATATTTGAAAGGCCAGATGATATAAAATCTAGTTAAGATGAATCAATTATAGTGGCTACCTCATCATCGAAGTCTTCTGGAAACTGAAACTTTATTCCAGGATCTGCAACATTAAAACAAGAAAATAAAATAATAAGTAATAAAGGTACACAAACAGAAATCACACAGGTGCAAATCAGTGAGTTAAACCTGATTTATTTTCTGCTATTAGTTTGGGAAATGAATCGTGAGCCATCCATTAGGAACAGAGTGATGTATATCAATAAATAGCTTATTTCTGTTTAATTTTGATAAACATTACATAAACCCAGCAAAAAAAAGTATTTCAAGACATTTGGATCTACTAATCAAGAATGTGGATGTAGTATAGAGTATGTGCACTCGTTTTTGCACAGCTTTTCACAAATGTTGAGAGGCTCAGAGGTGATCAACCTGTGGCTCTGCTGAGGTGTTCAGGAAGTCTGGTTGCTTTAATAGGGCCCTTCAATCCATTTGCATTGTGCTCTTTTATCTCAGCTTGTCTTTGTTATAATATTCCAAGTTGAAAATCAAATAAAATATTGATCGGTAAGGAAGAAAAACTAGGTTTTATCACGGAATTAATTTGAACACCTTGTGAAGTCTTTTCATTAAATTAACCAACGTGTAGCCTAAAAACACTGCTGGGAAAGAAGGCTTTCATGTCAAAGCAGGACCCAAAGTAGCTACTGGATGCTTTCAGGTATGATTGTAATGTCCATACAGGTCTTTGTGAAAATATCAATCATGTAGCTGGAACGTGGATCGTATCACTGCAGTCATGGTACTGGCTTCCTGTTTGTTAAAGGATAGAGCTATTGTTCATGATCCATCTGGTACTGAATGATCTCCCCCTGGAATACATCACTTTTATTTTCTTATAATTTGCTTGACTTTTATCTATTAAAGGTTTCTTTATTTTATGTATGTGTCATGTAATTTTTGTTTTTAAATTAACATAAAAAGCAGGCCTTGCCTCTCTCTTGATATTCCAGTATGAACATGGAGTTTGTCAGTTGAGTTTCTTCCCCAATTAAGTATTTCCTCCCCATATCATATGGTGTAATTTAAATCTTTATTAAAGCAGGTATTGGGACATGTGGCAGAGCAGTCAGGTTCCTGCTTTAATAGAAATAGAAATAACACCATTTGATTGAGTAGAAATTTAACATCTCTAAAGTTTGTCAGCTGATCCAATATATCCAGCTTCACAGCTGTGCTTCTTTGGACAATTTGAAGTGAAACTAGAGCAGCATGAATTCTGGGTCTATCCTTTCTTCCTCCTGCGACCTTTATTCCTCATTGAAATGAAAAATGTACTTTTATCTAAAAAGATTTCAGACCACAGAACAACACTCTAGTCATATTTTTACTCCGTGTATGATTTGTTTCTTAAATGTCTACGTTTCTGGAGTAGCTTAACACAGTATATTCAGCAGCTGCAGCACTATTTGCGGCGGCTCTTAAAGCACTTCAGTCCACACTTGAAGAACCTCCCCCAAACCCTTGAACAGACTTTTCTTCACTGACTCTCTGTGCTGTTTTTAGCAGTTGCAAGTGAAACCTTTATTTAGCATGCTTTCCTTCCACTTAAGTTTAAATCAATATGTTTGAAAACAGCACCATAGGAACAGATGGTGTTTTTTTTTTTTTGGTAAGGCTTATTTCTAGACCTACCCTCATGCAGGATGTCAAAGAGTGTCTGCAAATCAGCTTTTACTGTTTATATTGATGAAGTTTAAGATAAGTAAATGCTTGAAATTTGTTAATCTGTTTGTAATGTTCAGCATTTGAATTCATTTAATGAAATAAACTAAACTTTGTATTAAACAAATATTTTATTGTGAAACAAATATTTTTTGGGGAAAAAATCACAGGAAAAAAACAGGCTATACTAAATGTTTCAAAGTTATAAATAATCTTGAATTTGAAATCATATATGGTCAATATTGGGTCCTTTGGATCTTCACAGAGTTAACAGGATGCTCTCTCTGGGTTTTCTTGTGACTAAAATGGCATTGTGGTTTCTTCTGATCACGTGACAGGAAAAATTTGTCTATGCAGCATAAGCAGCTTAATACAAAAAGTTTATATGTTTAACTTTTTTTTCCCTGATCACATAATCTTTTTTTAAATGTTTATACACTGGTTTAAAGGGTGTTTGATTCATGAGACACTGATTGTGCGCAGTTTAGTTTGAGCAATCCATTGAGTCATCTCGTATGACTAGTCAAAGGTGTGTTAAGTCACAGGAAAATACTGGAAGAGGTACATCGTTGCAGAAAACAAAAAGTCAGTGCCATTGTAGAAAAAACAACTGTTTAAAACAGGGTGAGCTGAATCAAAGTGCTGTACAGGAAATAAAACCAAACCATTACCTATAAAGTAATGCTAACGGAAAAAGTATTACATACCGTAATAGGAAACAAGTTCTGTGAGTAAACTCACCATTTTGAAGTCCAAGATCAGAAAAGACTAAATAAAATGGAAAAGTTATCTAAATTCACTACTAGTGAGAAAACCTTAGATCTATGAGTTTATTTAAAGCTTTCTGCAATCTCTAGAAGTTCATAAACCAAAGCTGTGCTTAAAGCCAAGTCTATGCAAGGAAAACATTTAAGTGACCAGCTTGGTTTGGTTTGTGGATGCTGCTTCAAAAGAAAGGTTTCCTCACCTTTGTCTCTGGCTACAGGACATGTTGCTTCAAAGAACCAGTTGAAAGTTCGCTCAGGGTTTTGTCTGACAGGAAAGACACCAACACCATATGTGTGAGATTATTATTAGTGTTTGCTGACAAATCCATGTTAATGTTGAATAAAAGGCTAACATTTACCAGCTGAATGAATATAAATAAAAAAATACATATGTGCTAAGACAATTGTTTTTTTTCTTGAAGTTTAATATAGACATATCAAATATATAAAAGCTGTTTTATACTGCTTTCAGATTAAAATTAATTGTTCCATTATGTGTATAGCAGCAGTAACTGCAGGAAACTTCCTGTGCAGTTTTTGAGAGGAAGTTAATAAAAACCACAAAAACTGAGTGAGAGGCAGAGTGACAATGATGGAGGTCGACAGAAATCATAAACCAGTAAACTTACTTCAGTCTGGAACCCATCCTGCCTGGATCTGGCTGTTTCCATGTGCTTGTCCTGGAGGAGAGGTGTCCTCAGTGGTTCATTAGATGACTGACATTGCTCTGATGATGTATGTTTATAGATGAAAGCAGACAGCCAGAAGCAGTCTGCTCAGTCAGCGCTAGAGTGACAGAACACTTCCTGATCTATCTAAATATGCTCTTGTCAATGCGTGAATGACGTGTTATGAGACAGCCTTTGAAATATATAACTCCCCAAATTAAGTTCATTCGTATGTTTTAAGTGTTAATCACATTTACAACACACAGACTTGGACATCTTTAAAAAATAAATAAAAATCAGTTTACTTACTTAACGTCTTTTCGTTTATTTGGAAATCTTTAAATTACAGAACAGCTCTTAGTATACAGGTTTATGCAGCATTAACCTAGTTTTAGAGTTCCCCCTGTAGAACTGTCAGTAAGGCTGCTGGTTTAGCTTGATTTATGCAGCCATGCATGCACCGGTTTGACTATGCATCATATTGAGAACAGTGACACTCTCTCCATTTCCTGCTATTGTGTAAATAAAGATGTAGAATCTTAATCACAATGCATTTGTAGTTGCACCTCTTCAGGCTGTACAAAGAGGGAAATGACATTGTGATCAAAAAGGCCCTTTGCTGCCCCCTTGTGTTACTTTGGCTCATCTGAACCACACAGGTCTCCATTTTGATTAGATTACTTCAGCGACATCCTGAATAAAACAAAGGCAAGGATTATTCAACAGTAATTTAAATAAGTTTGTGAATAATAACCACGAGTGATCACATAGACACAGAGTTGTTTATAATATATTTATTTCAACCAATGACTTATTGAACAAGTTTTCAAAATGGTCCCAGAATGAGCCAAATCTGAAAAACAAAGAAAAGACAAAGGAGCACTAACACACGTCTGTTACCTCTACAGGGGCCAACTACATGTTTAGTGTGTGAATCCTACTCTGATAGAGGAAAAAGGTGAAGAGAAGCAAGAGAAGAAGTCGGGAACATTATAATGGGGAAAGAACAACACATTCAGGAATAGTGCAAAAAAAAAAGACCAGAGTAGAAGTTGGATGAGCGGATGAATGAGGGCAGATAAGTAATGATGAATGACTTTTGCCTCAGGCGACTTCCTCCTCTCCCTCCTCCTCAAACTCTCCCTCCTCAGCTGTGGCATCCTGGTACTGCTGGTACTCAGACACCAAGTCGTTCATGTTGCTCTCTGCCTCGGTGAACTCCATCTCATCCATGCCCTCTCCAGTGTACCAGTGAAGGAAGGCCTTGCGGCGGAACATGGCAGTGAACTGCTCTGAAATGCGCTTGAACAGCTCCTGGATGGCCGTGCTGTTGCCGATGAAGGTGGCGGCCATTTTGAGCCCGCGGGGGGGGATGTCACACACAGCAGTCTTGACGTTGTTGGGAATCCACTCCACAAAATAGCTGCTGTTTTTATTCTGCACATTCAACATCTGCTCGTCTACCTCCTTCATGGACATACGACCTCGGAAAACAGCAGCCACGGTCAGGTAGCGACCGTGGCGTGGGTCGCAGGCCGCCATCATGTTCTTGGCATCAAACATTTGCTGGGTGAGTTCAGGCACAGAGAGGGCTCTGTACTGCTGGCTGCCCCTGCTGGTGAGTGGTGCGAAACCTGGCATGAAAAAGTGGAGTCGAGGGAAGGGGACCATGTTGACAGCGAGTTTACGGAGGTCTGCGTTAAGCTGGCCAGGGAACCGGAGGCAAGTGGTCACTCCACTCATGGTGGCAGATACCAGGTGGTTGAGGTCCCCATAAGTGGGTGTGGTGAGTTTGAGGGTACGGAAGCAGATGTCATATAGGGCCTCGTTATCAATGCAGTAGGTCTCATCAGTGTTCTCAACCAGCTGGTGCACAGAGAGAGTGGCATTGTAGGGTTCAACCACAGTGTCTGACACCTGTGCAAACAATACTGAAGTTTAGGGTAAAAGCTAAAATACACAAAAACTAGTGAGGTCGAATGACTACCATACCTTGGGAGAAGGCACCACACTGAAGGTGTTCATGATACGATCAGGGTACTCCTCCCGGATCTTGCTGATAAGCAGGGTTCCCATGCCAGAGCCGGTACCACCACCCAGGGAATGTGTGAGCTGAAAGCCCTGCAGGCAGTCGCAGCTCTCGGCCTCCTTCCTCACAACATCCATGACTGAGTCCACCAGCTCGGCTCCCTCTGTGTAGTGGCCTTTAGCCCAGTTGTTTCCTGCTCCACTCTGACCTGTAACAAGATTTTGCAGCGATTTGACTTATTATTGCCTTCATAGCAAAACATAATCCAGTTTATGTCAGTGTGTTACTGAAGCAAATCATAAAGCTGGTCACCAGCCTCCCAGTGGTCTTCTTCAACCTTTGCCTATCCCTAAACATCCGTGGTCTCATACTGCCTTTGATTTCATTTCTGGACTACCACCATCCTCACTATAATTGATCACTTTTCCAAAGTCTGCCACCTCATTCTACCACCCTCCCTTGGGACAGCTCAACTCCTGACTAAGCGTATTTTTCTTCTTTATGAGATCTCTTGTGAAATCCTATCGGACATGGGTCCGCAATTTATCTTCTGGGTCTGGAAGGAGTTTGGAACTTCTTTGGGGGCCCAAGACTGCTCTCCATTCAGGTTCTTCATCCCCAAACAAATTGTCAATTCAAACGCATGAAAGGTTTGGCTAACAATTTGTGACTTTACCCGAAAGGCTTCTTATTGTGGACTCTCCCAGATTCATCGGTCCATTTGAAATCCAGGCACAGCTTAGTAGCTCTGCGGTTTGCCTCGAGCTGCCAGATCATTCAAAAATGTATACCATTTTGCACAGGATTCTCTTATCAAGTCTGTCCTGTCTGATCCTTTTTGTACTTTTTTGGTGCGAGAGCTTCCTTTCCTTTCCTTTTCCTCTCAGAGAGGATCTTTGCTGGTGGCTGGGCCTACTCATGTTGCTGCACACCTTTCCCAATCAAGATGACTAGCATGTATATAAGGAGGCGAAGAATCATCTCTCTCCCTGATGAAAAAAACCTAAACCAGGAATATCTTTCGTTTAAATTTCTTTCCTTGTAAATCTCTTTCAATGTGGATGCTGTTATTATTCCAAGCAACCAGTAAACCTCTGTTCGTCTTAGATCTTCATGAAAAAGGTCTCATCTGTGTGCAGCAGTTCTCAGTCTTCCTCGCCTGCTCTCCAACATGACGTCTCTTGCAAGAACCAACACTCTCGGATCTCATTCACATTCTCCTGGACCTCTGGGGTATAGTCTGCAAAAGCCCGCTGAATGAAACCCCTACAGATCCATGCTGCTTCCCCTTCCTCTCTCAAGGAAGCATACATTTAATTTGCTTTTGATATAGCCATTTGCATTCTCCATCAACTCGTTTAAAACATTTTTATACTAGGCTGCTGTTGATCCCACAGAAATGCAGTACTCTTTTAATGTATGCTAAGGTACTTATTTTGATTTTATGGATCTGAATACATATTTAAATGGAAATCTTATCAAATAAATTGGGTTAATATGAGCAACTAGAGACCAAATGTCTTTTGTACTTTTGTGTAATACTTTGTATTAGAGCAGGGCGATGTATCGAACATACTTGATATATCTGGAGTTTCCCCACAATTTTATAATATGTTGATTATTCCACCACCTAAAAATTCATCCACTAATAAATAATGAACGTTATCTCCACATGTCAGCATCTCCCCGCACAACAGTTAAAACGTTAATCAGCTGTGATAAAGACATTTGCCTCATAATTTGAAAAAGCATTCGAATACGAGAGAAATCAGAAGAAATGGAGGAAAATCACAGACGCTATTTATTACCTTATTTAAATGTTTTTTAGATGCTCCAATACCTTTGATGTGATTAATCTTGTTCAGAGGTTTTCCAGGCGTTTTGTAAACTTGGCAATGTTGTCTTCTTTAAAATTCTAAGCATGTAAAGATCAATGCAAATAGTTTGGAGATGCTCTTATAATGCTCTAATTTTTGGAGAGTATTTCAACTTCTGATTTTGTAATTTAAGATCAATTTCAATTTTTTCATTCTGCTTTCCGTTTAAATTATGCATAAAAGAGCTCTTTTTAAATTTGCATGCATTTAGTATTGTTTTTAAAGGTAATTCAAACATATTGTTATATTTTTGGTGTATCGCGACTATAGCCCAAATATATTGTGAAACTAGATTTTCTTCATATCGCCCAGACCTACTTTGCATGCTAAAAACACATAACAAAGAGAGCATTGTTTATAACTTATACCAAAGACAAAGTTGTCCGGCCTGAAGATCTGTCCAAAAGGGCCAGAGCGAACAGAATCCATGGTGCCTGGCTCCAGATCCACCAAGATGGCCCTTGGCACATATTTTCCACCTGGAACAGAAAGAAAGCCCAATATATAAATTTTTTTCCTCCAGAGGGGGAGGTTATTATTTCAAAATATAGAATTTCAAAAATTAGAAAAATCCAATAATCAAACCTGAAGCCTCGTTGTAGTAGACATTGATCCGATCCAGCTGCAGATCGCTGTCCCCATGGTAGGTCCCTGTAGGATCAATCCCGTGCTCATCACTGATTACCTCCCAGAACTTGAGACAGATCAATCAATACGTGAGATTAGATACACTCAGATGAGCATATTAATTATTTAAAAAACATATAAATGAACAGCTTGCAACTGATGCCCTCTGTCTATTATTTATAGTAATCAAGATCTGTGAGTCTATAGCTGCCCTAATAAATTCTAGGTAATTAATCTGATAAACCCATCAAAATATTTTTTATGTACAATTGACAGTAGCAGATTTAAGAATTCATCTTAATAAAACTGTGAACATACACTGCATTTTATGTTTAAGATTTAGTCCAGTAAAAAAACTTGTCTGATTTATCTGCAGACAAACAGAATCTTTTTTTAAATTAAAACAAACAGTGTCTAAGCAAAGATGGATTATCTTGATTCTTGTCACCAGGGAAAGATTAAACTGGGGCTCACAATGACACATTAAAACTGGCCTTCCAATGTCAGCATCCATTTTGTTGGGAGTTTTTTATTCTCATGTACTCGCCCTAAAGAAACTTCTGACCTACATCATTGCAATGTTTCTGTTTTATAAATGGTAGTTTCTATAGTGTTGAACGATTCAGAATTTAACTCTAATGTTTAGTTTTTAAGAGAGTTGGCATTAGGACCTTTGCTTCAGAGCAAAATAGTCTGTCGCCATTTTTAAATGCTGAAAATATATCAAATGGTGAAAATATGTAAAATGATGAATATTATTGTTAAGCTCATTAATACAACAGCTAATTCCCATACAACTTTAACATTTGCTCAACCACAAAGGCTGTGTGTTTTAAGCTTTGTTAGCTGAACCTGCACCTTAGAGTTCGCTAGAGCCCAAATTGATGAGAATTTACTGGTTGTCAGCTCTAACCATAACAATAATATACTGCTATTAAGAGGGTGGAGCCCATCACCCAGCTCAAGAACACAAGTCAGAACTAAAGGGGAAGAGAAAGGGCACTTGTTTTAAAGAAGTATTTGTGTTGAGGAATTTTCCTCAGATTGATTCCTGTTAAAAGAAAAAAATATATATATTTTAGTATAAACTCAATTGTTCTTCCCAATGGAAATACAGGAAAAAAATGTATCCCAACTCATGTGTAGAATTAAAAGCACATGGCTATGAGTTTAAAAACGAGAGGTAGTTGAGAGACAATTCCCCCAACTTACATTTATTGCAGTCCCTTAACAGATGCGTAGCCAAACATTTTTATAAGGGTGGCCAGACAATAACCAATGTACACTGAGGGGTGGCCGAAAGTGGACATGCGCCAGAACCTCAGGGTCAAGCTACACTGTTTCAAAAGGAAAATTAACGAGCAAAACATCCATATTTTCTTAATGAAGACAAACTATCCTTTCCTACAGCCTTTGCTAACAAATAAGACGCATAAATAGTGGATTAAGTTCTTTCAGGTTGGGGCAAACATCTTTTCCATTGTCATTACTTTTTTCAGTAATCATTCTGCAAAAAAAAAAAAAAAAGGTTTTTACAAGTACTAATATCTACATAATTTGATTATTTAATACATTTTTATTAAAATAGTTATTTATCCATGAATTCACTGAAGACTCCTAGATGACTTGCAGAAACATCATTTTCTTTTAACCCCACATACCACAAAATCTAGTTCTGAAAAAAGCATGAATTCTGTACTTATCTTCAATTTCAGTATATTTATGTGCATAATTAACCACAGTGTCTTTGTCGTCAAGTAAATGTTAATTAATGGTTAATAAAATGGTTTGAATATTCCACTTGAGTATTACTGCTCCAACCATTCGTATTAGAGGGAAAAAGTGGTAGGGGTGGCCAATGATTGGCTAAGGGTGGGCACCCCTGGCCCCCCCATCTAGCTCCGCCCCTGTCTCTTATAAGGCTAAAAATTTATTTTTAAAAATGTCTTGGTATAGCATTTCATATTCGAGACATCTAAGATCACTTTTTATTTTTCCATTATTTTGTTTTAATCCTTTGCATGTAAATTGACATTTAAGAAGAAAAAAAAAATCACTCTAGAATTACATTTATATACACAAATATATATTTTGAAATGTTTAGGTCCATTTAGATTAAATCGGGTGTTTCTAAATAAAACTGTAGGAAATAGAAAGTGCAAACACAACAGATCTGCATTTACAAATCGATATAATAAATTGGATGCAGTATGTCACTATTTGCTAAAATATTAAGGTATAATTTAGTTGAAAAATAAATTTGATTGTGAAAAAAATAAAAAATAAAATTGCATGATTCCAGTTGTTTCTGCATTTGGTGTCTGAGCCACACCCCTCTGCGCAACTCACACTAATTAATGACATCTTAAACTGACAGTAAAAATCAAGCCAAGAAAACAGACTGTCTGCCTGTGCAGCTCAGATCTATGGTAGTAGCTGGTCGTTCATGTGACAGCAGAGGGATGTCTCGGATTGCCACCGCCCATCCTGAAGGATGCTATTGTGTGCGGCTGCCATGTCGGCTTTTTTTAAGCACGACACTTTCCTCCCCACAATGTTTGGCCTAGTTAGCCTTTCCTGAGTACGACGTGACCTCTTACCAACCGTCGCGAAACAATGAACAGAAGCCAATTTTAATTCAGCAACAAAATAAAACGTTTAACGGTGGGTTGGCCGGTCTCTCTCCCTACCTTCGCTCCAATCTGGTTCCCGCACTGCCCGGCCTGAAGATGCACAATCTCACGCATATTGTCGCTGTTGTTTTATAGGCAGTATGTCAACTTCTGGAGGAAAAAAAGGAAAGTGGGCAGGATTTTAAAAAAAAAAAGCGACTTTTTTTAGAGACTGTTGGCTCTCGGCTCGGTCGAGTTGCTGAATGGCGGAGGGGTTTGTAACGAACTAAGCTCTCTCGTCTCGCCCTTCCCATCCAACCACGGCTGCGCCGTTCTGGTCCTGTGCTGCAGAATTACGTCATCTCCATGGTAACGAAAACTGGGCACAGCCGGTACTAATGGCCTGTCCAAACCGGTCGACTCAAAGAGAGCAGAAAAGAAAACAGACTGATCTTTGTTGGAATACAATGTAAAAAAAAACATATTTATACTGCATAATGCCGAGATTATAGCTTTCGTCTTAAGAGCCAGAGTCTGACCTCTTTAATGGAGCAGTCGACAATATGTCTGCTCTTGTTGAATGCACACCCCTTCTCCCATCACCAAAAACAGTTATTCATAATGTGTTCAACATGTCTTCATCATTTAGAGTTAGTTTTTGCTGTAAATAATGCTGCTTCTATTCCCCCCGCATATATCTATACACATAATGCTATATAAAGATTATTATTTTGTTTGAGTTGTTGCCCATAGAGACAGCCAGGATGTTTGACACAGAGGCTGGAAGGAAGTTAGGATGATATTATAGAAATGGAATGTCTTCCTCACCCCCATCTGTATGCAGCTGGAGGCTTTCAAATCACATTTTCAAATATGACGGAAGAGGTAAACTCATGGATGAACATGCAGGTGAAAACATATTTCCTGAGACTATTAAAAAAAACACAAACAATCTAACCACAGATCAGAATATATTTGTCCTGTTTTGGTTCATTTAGGGAATGATTACTTGGAGGAAAAAAAATGGACAAAAATTAGAGGGATGAAGCATTTTAGAGCATTTTCGCTACTTTCTTCAAAGAGGCAAGACTAGATGATATAAGCTTAATCTGAAAAACTCACACGAAGAGAAAAGACGATTAGAATTATTATTATTTTTATACAATTACTTTGTCTTTGTCTTAAGCGCTATGTTTCAGCAGGAAACATAGTGCTTAATTTTGATAGATATGCATGAACAGGAATAAAGAATAGGGCTGTTTCCCCCCAGGCCTGAAACTGGTGGTGGAGTGGAGATAGATGAAGTAGGTAAGTCTGTAGACTGCTGGTTAGCGAGATAGTATGCTGAACTTTAAGGGGAGATGCAGTGGATTGCGTGAGCTGATACTAGAGCGTCAGGGACCTGGAAGATGTAAGTCCAGTAGGATAACAGAGGTTGAGAGAACCTGTCCATGATGAGCAAGCATGGAGCGACAGTGGAGAGGAAAAACTTCCCGTTGAGAAGAAACCTCTGGCAAAACCAGGCTCAACATGGCGGTCTTCTAAGATCAGACAGGGAACGCAGTAAGAGTCCGGGAGGAATGACACTCTGATGAAGTTTTAGCTACTATAGTGGAGAAGGGGCTGGAGGTGGGTTGAAACGGTGTCATCTGAATGAAATCACACAGCGCATCTGCCGCCTGTGCAGAGGAGCAGACAAGTGCGTATCGTAGGTCTTTTAAGATGAACTTTGAATGCCGATTAGTTTTCATGGAGGCGTGGTTCAAAGCTGATTGGCTGTGTTGCAGGTGAATGAAGGAAAGCAATTAGTTTCTTCAGTTGAACTTCTGCCTAGGCTCCATTTCTCTTATTGGAAGACAGAACATCTCAAACTAATTACATGGCTAAACATCTGATGATTAATTCACAATATTTAACTCAATGGGTGACTACTGTACCTCACAGTTCCCTAGTAAGACCTGGAAGAAATCTGTAGAGTGTTATAAGTCAACTTAAGCTTAAAGTTGCCATGCTCAGCTTTGAAAATATAGGGTGGGTACTAAATGTGTTTGAGAAAAAAAGGTTTTATAAAACACTGTAACTTTATCGAATAGATAACAGAATTTAGAGATGGATAAATACATTTTGTACTTAAGAAAAAGTTCACTATATTATTTATTTTCCATGTGAACCCCAGATTGTTCTTGCTTCTTTGCCTTTTCTAAAAATTTCTTTAAATCAGTCCTACCTGTCTTTATCCATGCTGGGTCAGATCCTAACATTTAAAAAAAGGAGGCAGGCAAACCAGGCAGCAGAATAAAGCTTTAGCCTCACTGCATGCAGTTAGCCAAGCTTTGTAGCTAAACCAGGTCCTGGAAAAAGACAGAGTTTTCTAAAGTATACTTTAAGTATACTTTAGTAAACTTAAAAATGTCCCAATTTAGTTCGAAGAAGAAATACTTTAGTAATACTTCAAGTACACTAAAATACATTGTTTGGGTATACTTTCCAAACTTATACCTAAGTATTCTTAATAGAATTTACTTCAAGTATAGTACTTTTTGCTAAGGGAAGATGTACTCTGTACTTAATGGCTGAAATATCTGTCATTATACTGTACATTAAAAACCACTCAATCCTTTGTCTATAGATCCCTAATCTCTATTCCTGCTCACACTTGTAACATTTCTTACTCAGAACCCTGCTGCATCTCTGTGGAAAGTAGACAGACAAAGACTTGTTTGTAAGTCAGTGAAAGAGGGTACACATGTTTGCTAATAGTTTTGGGAACTTTTGCAGGAGTGAGTACTTGTATTCTCTTAAGGAATGTTCCAAGTGAAACAAACATCGCAGTCCTCACATTGTGTGCATTGTGCTGTTGAAAGACGGCTAAATTGCTCACAATGAGTGTCCCGTGGCTGTTGTGGTTGCAACCTATCCAATGCAGATGATATGGTTTGCAATGGGAAATATGACATCACACAGTAAGAAACTGGAAGTTAGGTGGTTTTACACTATAGATTTCAGGTTAGGATTGACCTGCATTGGAGCATTTTAACTCTTTTAATGTGGCTATATTTGGAGCGTTGCTGCCATCTATTGGGAGGTTAGAAAACTGCTATATTTTCAGTTCAATCATGTACATTGTGGTTTTGTTTTGATAGATAGATATTCTCTGTTATCCTGAGCTCTTTCTGCTACATTCTATCTCTATTCTCCCATTCTGCAGTATTTTTCTTCTTCAACTAATAACTTAATGTTCTCCCTGGTTTTTCCTGTCATAGTAGCTTCCTCTGGTCTGTTCCTGTTTGAGTGTGAGTCCATCCGACATTGAAATATCAGCTGTGCTGCTGCCATAGACATCTTTTTTATAGATGTTGGAGCTTTGCCTGATTTTTTAGTGTAGTTTATTTCTTTCACTGTGCTTAACCGTGTGTGCTCCCTTTCATCTTCTGAACAGGCTTGGAATTTGTTTACCTGACTGTCTTTCCTGTTACCTTTTGTTTCTCTCCTTTTTATGTGTCTGCTTCTACTGCCTTGAACCTCAGTCGGATGACCACTCACACTAAGCCTGGTTCTGTTGGAGGTTTCTTCCTGTTAAAAGGGAATTTTCCTCTCCACTGTCCCTACATGCAAGCACAATGTGAGAGATTGCTGAAGAGTCAACAACAAAATGCCACTTAGAATTATCACCACAAGTTCATCAAGAAGGAGCATGCCTTGCAAGTCAGAGACTGGATACAATTAACTGGTTTTCCTCGACAAAAACTTTTAACCAATCTGACTGTACTGCCTCTGTAAAGTGGCTTGAGATTGCATGTGTTAAGAATTGAAACTACCGTATGTAAATAAACTGAATTGAATCAACAGATAAGTATTTGTGCTATGGTTTTTAATATCTATAAACATGTTTAATCCATACATATTGTGTATAATTATTTGACAGATTTAACCCTTTTTATAACAGAACAGCATCCCCTGCTTGCTCTGAGGTGCAATAACAGATATAGGAAATAAGTTGTCATCTTCACGTTTTGAAAGTTTCTTTCAATATTCTTGTTTCTGCACTTCTTCTTTCATGAACTAGAAAAAAAATCTTTTAATCAAATCTCTTAAGATCATTGCATTAATAGGAAAATAGTGAGTGTACACTCATCATTTGGAACATACAAAATTAATAACAAAAAAGAATAAACTTTAAATGGGCTGAACCTGCAAACCCCTGGAACAATAAACATAGTGGGTGGGTTTATTATATCTACAACAATGCTGTGACTCATTATCCACAGATAAAGGCATATGGGCCTTTATTCCTTTTATCCCAGATTTTTGGGCTTGTTTTTGGGGCGACACACATTAAGTCGGCCTTACTACGGTAGTCTTCTTCAATAAGGTACCCAGCTGCTGTTTAGTTGAGTGCCAGAGTTTATCTCTGAAGACTCATCCAGGGCCCTTGCCATAAATTGTAAATCAAAGCTTTGTTTTTTCTTTTACATTTATATTTTTCATATTTGTTATATAATTATTGATAATAGTAAGACACAATCTTGTGAAATGAGTTAGTTTGGATGACCGTTTCATTTCCTCAATATATTGACAAAGGTTTACACCAACAGCTAGATAAGATCCACATGTGAGTAGGTGAAGAGCTATGTGTGAAGGAGCATGCACTCATACATGTGACATATTGAGTTCTGGTGGTAAAGAATCTTAATGCACAAAAAATGTCAAAATGCACGAGGAGAGTAATTTACATAAATAAAATTGCTAATATGATTTTTGTGCACCTTGCATTTTTTTCCACAATCCTTGCTTCGTGAAGGGATGGATCTAAAAGCAGCAGGATAGTTCTTCTCCAACACTTTATTTTACTTTTTGAGACACTGAAAAGTTATGGTAGAGTTTGAAATTTAGGACTATGAAAAGCACAATTCAATGTTTTGAGAAAAAACGTTCAGAAAATGAAAAAAAAGTTCATTGAATGGCTCTTTACTATATATAATTTCATTTATTATGTTCATCCTGGCATTTGTCTGACTTATCCAATCTATTAATTGTCAACTTCACATGACACATGCAGGAGAAACTCAGCCGTCACATCTGTAGTACCATATGTTGACCAGAGGGAGGCACAATATAGCCATAGATTGATATAATTAAACATTGCGGTTCTGGTTAATACATTTTCTTTTTTACTACCTACTGTGACAACATATGTTTTCGCATTGGTTTGAAGGTCTGATCATCACAATGCCCCTATTCTAAAGAGATGTTCATTCAAAGA